ATGGCTGCTGGCTACTGAGCAAGGGGGGCTTGGCTCCACTTTAGGCTACAAAAATTCAATTGTACAAGATAAATAAATTCCAGATACCAGAGCCTCTGCTTGGGTCGCTGGGGGTGTGGCAGCCTACAAACTACCACAGGCCCCTTGCCCAGGCCGCCCCACATCCCAAGGGAATCCCCACCCTGATCCGGGACACCCTTTAGGGCAAATAGCCCTCACCAATGCACCAGGCCTCTATCTTATCTAATAAAAGAGTAATATGCAGATTGACCATCACTCCAACACACAAGATGGCTGCCCCCATATGATCAAAAATCCTGCCAATATATGGACACAAGATGGCCAGCAGGAGAGAACAGTTGGGAGGGACCAGGCCTGCAAGGGAGGGCAATTTTGGGTGATCAGGCAAGCAAGGGAGGACAACTGAGAGGCACCAGGCCTGCAAGGAAGGGCAGTTGGAGGCGATCAACCCTGCAGGGGAGGGCAGTTAGGGGTGATTAGGTCAGCAGAGGAGGGAAGTTGGGGCAAACAGGCTGGTAGGGGAGCAGTTAGACATCAATCAGGCTGGCATGGGAGTGGTTAGGAGTGATCAGGCTGGCAGGCAGAAGTGGTTAGGGGCAATTAGGAAGGCAGGCAGGCAGGCAGGCAGGCAGGCAGGCAGGCAGGCGAGCAGTTGGGAGTCAGCAATCCTGGATTGTGAGAGGGATTCCAGATTGGAGAGGGTGCAGGCTGAGCTGAGAGACTCCCCTCCCACTCCCATGCATGAATTTTGTACACTGGGCCTATAGCTAAAACATATTCATCACCAATTATGAGCTAAGAAGATTAAGAATTATTTTACTTAATCCTGGTTTTAACCCTTTAACTTTGGTACTATGGTCATTCCCAGTCTCTGAGCTGAGGCCCAGAGAAGTCAATTAATTTGCCCAATAAACCATAGTTGATCAGTGGTGAGAATAGTCAGTTCTGACTCCAAAGTTCAAGTAGGTAAGTTCTTTCCTTGTGTCATGATGAAACCCTTACTGTTCTTCTGAAAGAATAGTAGCAATGAACAGTATGGGACAGAGGGAACAGCACTAGTCTAAAAACTTTTATTATGGCTTTGGCACTGACTAGCTGTGTGACGCTGGGCAAATCACTTCCCCTCTCTGCTTTACCTTCTTTATCTATAAAGCGACTGATATGGACAAAATAAATAAATAAATAAAATCTCCTTTCCAGAACTGTCAAGCTGTAACTCTGATGGAAGAGTCAAAAACAAACAGCTGGTGGATGGTGAGGGGGCTGGAAAACAAAAGCCTATTGAATAGTATTTTCAGAAACTAGGCGCTTAGCCCAAAGTTATGGGTTCAATTCCCAGTCAGGGCACATATCTAGGTTGTGGGTTCCATCCTGGTCAGGGCATGTACTATAGGAGATAACCAATCAATGTTTCTCTCTCCCCCACCCCCCCACTTTCTCTCTTCCTCTTTCTCTAAAAATCAACTTTAAAAAAAACACACAAACCAGAGACCTAGTTCTGGTTCTGGTTCTGCCAGCCAAGGTACAAGACAACCACAGAACCATCCTCATGAGTCTCTTCAGTCCCAAAGGAAAGAGGGGATCAGAGCATGATTCCTCTTGTGTGGAGTAGGCCATTGGTTGGGCCTCTTCCAGTGCCCACAGGCTATGGGCTTATGTCCACCTGCTCCCCCTGCACAACATCACTCCTCCCCAGGCCCAGAGTCCTGGACCTGCCCATGGCCTAGGTGACATGGACCTGACCAAGAAGTCCCCCAGAATGGTGGTGATAGAAAGGGCTTGGCTCACACCAGGTTCCAAGCCTTCTTTCTTCTTCCTTGGAATCAGTTTTGAAAAGCAAAAATCAAGGGCAGCACCAGTAGCAGCTACTGGGACGGAAGGAGGGTCTGCAAACCCACTGCTATAAAGGGCTCAGTATTTCTGCTGCAGCCATAGATAGGTTGGTGCCAGAGGTCCCACACTCATGCCCCTTACAAGGCCTGGGCATAACTCTGCATTGTTGAGGATATTTTCATCAACTACTGCAGGTGCCCACCTCCACTCTACACACAGAGAATCACAGAGCTACATGGAAGACTCAGCAGGCTGGAATTCTAGGGGCCAAGAAAATACAGAAGATGGGGGAGGGGCGGGGAGAACAAATCTCTCTTGCAAAGTGACTGGGTAGATAGAGGAAGCAGAATTGCAGACCACACCTAACACTGTGGAAGTAGAAGGAATGGAAGGAACTTGCAGCAATCCAATATTCACAATCTAGGCTTCCTGAAGTAGGAGGATCTGCAGCTTTCTCCATCTTGTCTTCTGAGAGGCTAACAGAATTCCCTCTTGCTAGTATGCTTTAAGAATCAACTAATATTTTCTCTGTGCTGCCCCTTCCCTTACTTCTAAAATAAAATGACAAACAAAATAGATCCAAAGACATGGAAGCATGCAACAGGCTGATGATTCTCAAGAGGGAAGGGGTGGGGGTGGGAAGAGATTCACCAAAGAACTTATATGCATACTAGAGGCCCAGTGCATGAATTCATGTATGGGTGGGATCCAGTTGGCCTGGCCCTTGATTGGGGCCAATTAGGGCTAGGCTGGCTGGGAGGAGGGGCTATGAGCAATTGGCCAGTGGGCCCATCCCCAATTGAGGTGGGAGGGCTGATTGGAGGCATGGCCAGCCATAGGGAGGGGCTGTGAGCGGTAGGCTGACTGTCCCATTCCCGATTGGTGGGGGAGGTGATCAGGAGTGGAGCTGGCTTGGGGAAGGGGCTGTGGACTGATAATGGTGGTGGGGCTGATGTGGGTGGTGGAGGCCAGCCATGAGGAGGGTCTTTAGGCAGTGAGCCAGGTGGCCCCGCCCCCAAATGGGGTTGGGGTGCTGATGGGGACCAGTAGCCTAAGGACAGGGCCAAGGGTATTTGGCCAGTCCTGTACCTGATCAGAGTGGGTGGGCAAGTGGGTGGGCAGAGCTGATTGAGGGGAGGGGCCATGGGCTGATCCAGGTGTGGACTCATCGGGGGCAGGGCTGGTTGGGAGGAGAGGCTGCAGGAGGTTGGCTGGCTGGCCCTTCCTCCTATTGGGTGGGTGGGTGGGGTTGATCAGGAACATGGCTGGCCAGGGGGAGGGGCTGTGGGCCAATCAGGGTGGTGGGGGCCTATCAGGGGCGGGGCCAGCCAGAGGGAAGGACCACAGGGGTTGGCCGACCACTCTGGTCTTGATCGGGGTGGGAGAGGACAATCAGGACCAGGGCTGGCTGGAAAGAGGGTCCCCCCATTAGTTAGATCAATATGCCAGCTGCAGTGGGCGTGATAGTGACTGGTCATTCAGGTCACTGGCTTTTTACATATATAGATGTGCACAACCCATAGACACGGACAATAGTGTGATGAAGGCCTGGGGGAGAGGAGCCAAGGTGAAGGAGGTCAATGGGGGTGAAAAAAAAAAAGACACAATTTTTAAAAATGATAAAATAAAAGGGGTGTAACAGTCCCACCTGGCTACCACTCAGGTTGCTGTAACATGAGGATAGCATTCATGAAAGAACTTTATGAACAGTGAGTGGGTACCGCATTAATGCTACCAAGAGGCTTTGATGGCTGATCAATGTGCTAGTAAACCTCCCGCCCCTTCTGGGGAAGCAGCTCAAGCTTCCTGCTGAGAAAGGGGAGCAGTGGCCCATCTAGGGGACTGGGGGGAGGAGCATGACAAAGAACGAACCCCATTCTCATGATCTCCACTACCTACAGCCACCTCCTGTCACCATCACTGTTCAGTGTGCTACCTCCCACCAAGACACCACCCCTTTTCCATGGCCAGGCCCCGGGATGGCCTGTCTGCTATTGCTCTCTCAGGATGAGGAGGTAGAGTTGGTGAATGGGCACCTGAAGACCAGGATTTGATTCTCACTTCGGACACCTATGGACTGGATGAGCGAGAGCAAGTCACTTGACCTGTCTCAAAGTCAATTTCCTCACACACCAGAGTGGGTGAAATTAGAGCCTCCCCCAACTGCGTAAGAGTGCTGGGAGCTCAGGAAAAAGAATGGGCGTGCAAGCCCTTTGCAATTCGTTAGTCACTGTCTATATATGAATTAGTGGTGATGGCCATAGTCAGACACTCTGGACTGCCTAAGTGACTTCAGCGTGTTCACTGATAAAGCATCACATCAGTCAGGGTCAGAATATGGGGAAATGATGTGACTAAATCCATTATTCATGATCCTTGTGGGCCAGCAAATAAGAACACGGCGGTGTAAGCTCCTTTGGGAGAACTACTGAGATGGGGATCCTGCAGTTAATACTAACCCACATCAGGAAGCCTTCCGCTGCCTCCAAAGCCCAAGATTGCAGACCCTGGGCTCGAGCCGGCTCCCTCCACCACATGGGCCAGTGAAAGTGGCAGAAATGTTGACGTGGACCCTTTGGGCTCCTCCCAACAAGGACAGTGTGTCACAGTGGCCACGCCTCCTTGTAGGACACAAATGAAAAGCTGGCGCCCTCAGGGCCAATTTTAATTGCTCTTGAACTTTTCTGAAAGTATGCAGGAATGCGAGCTACTTCTCAATTTCTTTTCTTTTTTTTGCATCAATTTCAAATATTTCTAGTTTGGTTTATAATTCAGTTTTAAAAAGTATATTACACACACACACACACACACACAGATACAAACATACACATACCCATCCATATATGTGGATGCAGATGTATGTGTTGTATTTATTTTAGTTTTAATTCAGTGTTTAAAAAGTTCAAGGAATTTAGTTCGGTTTTGAATCAAGACTCTCTTTCTGGCAGGAGCCCTGTGGGATAAATTAAGAGATACCAGGGAGGAAAAAGTTCCATGCAGGAAGTAAACCTAAAATTGGAACCCATAAATTCAGGTTCCAAATCAGAACTACCACTTGTGGTTGAGGCAGAAAAAAACAACAAAGTGTCTCATCCTAGGAACCGGCCCTCCATCTCCCACCCGGGAGGACCTCTGGGGCCCGTTACCTGACTCTCTCATCCTCAACCCTCTTCAGGGCAGCATCCCGCTGCAGGACCTTCATGATGGCCTCCTGCTCCTCCTCGGTCAGGAAGCTTAGGTCGATCATTTTGAAAGGCGTGTGCAAAAATTAGAGTCACAAATCCAGCTCAAGGTTCTCCAAGCTAAACAACTCTGACCGGAGCCCGGATGATTAAAAGATGCAAAAGCGAAATGCAATGATGTCTTGCTCAGCTCCACAGCAAACGTCCTGTCTTGGCTCAGCACAAGTTTTAGGCGGCCGATTGCAAAACCCCAAGTGCCCCTTCCAGGGAGGCAGGAGTGGCCTGAGGGGCGACGTGGAGAGGAGGCTCTCAGAAGGAAGCAGCATTCCTTGCCTGGCAGGTCACTGGGGCCCACAGCGGCATTTCCACTCACGCCCCTTCTCCGGACCAGTCAGTTCTCCTTCAGTCCTTGTCACCAGCTCCAGAGTGTCCACAGCATCTGAGCACCACCTACCTGGGGAAGCGGGAGGCAGGAAATATCAGTGCGAGGTCATTCCTATAAGTGTTGCTCTTGACTACAAGATTTCAAACATGCCTGGGGGTGTGAGATGGCCTCTGAGATCAGGAAACCAGTTCTGCTGGCTTCCCGGGCAAATGGCAAATGGGTCATGAAACACGCTTCTACTCAATGCCGGACCACCTCCGGTGTTCACCAGCCACCGAGGAAAGGGATGTAGGCACCAAGGGTCTGGTTCTCAAGCCCAGGGGACACTAGGCTGAAAAGTCACAGTAAGAGTCGGCAAGACCAGGAAGACATGATTCCAGCTGCCAAGGGACTGTGGGTAAGAGATTAGAAATGAAAATTCCCAAACGCTCCCTTCTCCATGAGTAGGAATGTCCCACAGGAGGACATTTGTTCTCTGTAAGGACAGGAGAGCTAGAATCAGGTAGAGGTAGTTTGCAAAGCAGTGGGAATTGCACTCTTTACCTAGTCCCGCCCCTAACCTTTGCTGGGCCTGGAGCATCTCATCAAGCTTGTTTCCCTTCCTTTCTGAGCTTGAAGAACACTGACTGGTAGGTGTATGTAAATCGGGAGAAAGAAAGAGACAGAATTTCAAAATACCCTACCATCCAAAGTGAGCATTTTAAAGTAGGACAACGGGCAAGAATCTGATTTTCTCAGAAGCATCTTAAATAAGGTGACCAGACGTCCCACTTTCGGCGGGACAGTCCCAATTTTTAACGATTTGTCCCGCGTGCAATGGGAAGAAGGTGAGATCTGAAGAATGCCCCAACCAGCCAGGACTTCAGAGATGACCAACTCCAGGACTGGGGCCCTTTTACCAAACGCAGTGCTCCCATACAGTGGATGCTAAAAACCATGTGTTCAGTATGTCTTAAAGTAGCATCACTTGAGAATAAAATGGAGTGTGTACACTAGTGAGTGATTTTTATGAGTATAGATTCTTTGTTTGGGCAACAACTGGGAACTACCCCCTCTACCAATTGTTAGCTACGGAACCATTAGGCAAGTTACTTCCCACTGTGAGGCTCCGGTTCTCTCACTGTACTTGACAGCAGGACCAAATGAAATAGCACATACCTTGCATCCTGTACCAAAAAGAGCTACTAAAACTATATCCTGGTTTCCTTTCTGAATTCACTCTTTTGTTTCATCCAGCTGAGTCAGAGTGCACTCTTTTCTCTTTTCTCTTTTGAACTGTTTGCTAGCTCCCCCATGAAGTTTGGCCTTCACGGACAGGTACTTCAAAGATCTTTGTTTTATTTTTCTGCATCTTTTTACAAAATGCCCAGAGACTGCACAGATAAATAGTAAGACAATACTTCATCCCCCCTCCTCTCTCTTTCTCTCTCCTTTTTATTTATTTATTTATTTATTTATTTATTTATTTATTTATTTATTTATTTATTTATTTTACATTTTGCATGCATTTGCCTGCTGTTCATCTTGAAAACTATTCAACCTTCAAGATGAAAATCTTCACCTCCAGGAAGCCTTCCTGAACTTCCTAACTCTTCATTCCCTTCCTGACATAGAACTACACAACCATGTTGCTATTAGAGCGAGCAGAGTATTCATCCCCACTTGCCTGATGTTAGGCATGGCCTGTGACTTACTGTGGCCAATGAATATTACAAATGAGAAATAAGCATAGGCCACGCCCAACATCAGGCAAGTGGGGATGAATACTCTGGCTCTGCTTCTTATGCTCCAGCATATGCCACAAAAAGAGCTTGCCCTAGTAGCTATCTTTCCCAGAAAGAAAGATACAAGGACAGACCAGAACCTGACCCTCCTGAAGCAGGGTCACCCCAGCTGACCTGTAGCTATCGAAGTAAGAAATAAATACTTGTTGAAAGCCACTGAAGTTTGGGGTTGCTACATATATTTTTGTTTTGTTTTTATTTATTTTAGAGTGGGAGGGGGATAGACAGAGAGAGAAACATCTATGTGAGAGACACATAGATTGGTTGCCTCGTCCCTGGACATCTGAACAAGGTTCATGCCCTTGACTAGAATCGAACCTGGGATCCTTCAGTCTGCGGACAGATACTCTTTCTACTGAGCCTAACCATCCAGGACAATACTGTTTTTGACTTCACAAAAACTTCTTCTCCACTTATATAACTCTACTGCTGTAATTATTTATCTTCCTTTAGTCTCTCCCATTTGACTGTGAGTCAATACGAATACATAAGGGAACAAGTAAATGGATGAATGGACCTAATGCAAAGACAGTACTCCACCAGGGGCTAGCTATCTTGATTATTTCATGCACAATAGCTTTCTTTCATGCCCAGTAACTTCCTTAGATCTCAAAGGCTGGCAAGGAAGTGGATTCAGGCCACATCCTGGGAATCACGTTCCTGATGAGGCATTACACTGCTCGCCCTGTGGTTCAGTGGGAGATTGTTGTTAAATTCAACATAGGGGCAGGAGGTCAGAAGAGAACAAAAGGGAAAAACTACTGAGGTTGTCCAGCAGTGTTAATGGGCAGGGTGTTAAAGGGGAAAATGCTGGCTTCCACACCTTCGGGAGGAACTATAAGCAAAGCAGTGCTTCTGTGTAAAAGCTTCTAAGGGTTAAACGTTTTCCTAAAAATAAGCATTTATCGAGACAGAGGGTAATATCCTCATTTTACAAACAAAGGGCTAGAATCCTTGGCTCCTAACTGAGCAGCCAGGTGGCAGGAGAGCCAGCCCTCAGATGGCTATCGGGAGCTCTTCAATGCTAGCTGCTCCCTGATTCCCAATATCCGGGGTGTTATCCATAACAGGAGCTAATCAAAATTTCATCCACTCAACACACATTCATTGAGAGGCTTTTGTGCCCGACACTGTTCTAAACAGTAAAGAAACGCAATCAGTAAAACAGAAATAAACTTCCTGTCTTTTGGGGCACTCACATGCTAGTTGCAGGAGACATTGTTCAAACTCAATAACTTTGGGGGGGGGGGTGTCTCCCTGAGAAAATGACCTTTGGACAAAAACTTGGGAAATGAGAAAACAAGCCACGCAGGTATCCGGGCCCTGCAGTGGGAGGGTGTCAGGTGTGATCAGGAACCCCCATGGAGGCCAGTGCTGAACTCTCCGACGGGCCAGGAAGACAGGACGAAGCAGGTCAGAAAGGAAACAGATCAGCTGTGTTAGGTTCTGTACATGCCGTGAGATCTCTGGCTTTTTCCCTGATACAAAGCAGCCCCAAGAGAGAAAGGGGAGGGGAAAAAGAGAGAATAAATATTTACTGGCCGCCTCCTGTGTGCACGGCACCTTACATACATCATCCCATAGGCTCCTCAAGATCTGGGCAGGAATTGTCTTATCTGTGGTTTACAAACGAGGAGAGCAAGGCTCAGGGAGGTGTGCCACAAACTTGTGCTCAGTGGGGCTGGCGTCTGCTAGTGGTTCTGTCAGATTTCGCCACCCCAATGCTGACATCTCATTTACTCCCCCTCCGCACAGGTTTTTCAAACTGGGGAAACAGGACCAACTCTCCCAGCTGGCTGTGGACCTTGTTCTCTGCTTACACATCAAAGAGTCACTGGCCCACAGCTGGCGGTCAGCATGGGCGCAACCTCAGTGCGAAAACTGGGAGGGAGGGATTTTGGTCACAGGGATTCCTGATGTGCGCACAGGAGTAGCACCAGTGTGAGCAAAAAGCCATCTTTAGGCTCAGCTCTCCATCCCATGCCTCTTCTGCATGCTGCTGGGTGATTTCCCCACAAAAATATCTGACCGAGCTGTATTCTATGCTTCAAACACTTCGGCAACTTCCCACTGCCTCTAAGGCTCAGTGCCCTTACCGTGGCCTGTGGGACTCAACATGAACTGGGGCTGCTTTGTCCCCCATCACCTCTCCTTAGGCCCAGCCACTGGGCTTTGTCAGCTCCTTTGGCCGCTAGGCCCCCCAGAGGCTGTTCCTTCCACCTGAAATGCCTTCGTTGAGCTAATGCCTCTTGAATCTCAAGTTAGAGGTCACTTATTGTGCAAAAGCCTTTCCTAACCTCTCAAGGCCAGGCTGGGTGTCCCTCCTGTGTGCTCCTTAGCACTGACTTCCTCAGTGAGGGTGCCTCACGCTGCTTCAACCCCCCATCTACACCTGTTTGCCCCTCATGAGTTTATGAGCAAGGCCTGGGCCTCTGAGTGCTTGCTGTCTTCAGCACCTGGCCCTGTGCCTTGTTCCTACTGGGCATTCAAGTATTTAACATATGGACACAAGTCCCCTTAACAATAAAAAAAATTAAAAAAAATAAGATGAAACCGGTTAGGCTCAGTGGATAGAACATCGGCCTGCAGACTGAGGAGTCCCAGGTTCGATTCCGGTCAAGGGTATGTACCGTGGTTGCAGGCACATCCCCAGTAATGGGTGTGCAGGAGGCAGCTTATTGGTGTTTCTCTCATCGATGTTTCTAACCCTCTATCCCTCTTTCTTCCTCTCTGTAAAAAATCAATAAAAATATATTTAAAAAACAAACAAACAAATAAAAAACACCAGGTCCACATTATGCATCAAGTTCCAGTTCCAGGTCCTTTGTGTGACAGTGTGGTCTCAGTTTTCTCCCCCATAAAATGGGTATATTCACTCCTACTTCCCCCTCCTCAT